GGAAATGAAAACTGGCCTCAGGTGCCTGCCTGCTGATTTGGGCCATGGTGCTGAAACGCCTGTGAGCACATTCCTCACACTCTTCTCTTTTCAATACTCTTCATCTGTGTATGAGTGTGTGTGTGTGTGTGTGTGTGTGTATGTATGTACAGATGAGTACTTAGAAATGTCTGTGGAAATAAAGAATTGAGGGGCCAGGTAGTACAACAGTAGTAACACAACGGACCCACATAGAAAAGACCCTGGTTTGCAACCCAGGATGATTTTGCACATGCTGGGCGTGCACACGCCTGCCCATGATCTGGGTCAGTTGAAACTGGGAGTAAGCTGCAGTGTGAAGACCTTGTTGAGGTCCCTGTCTGTCTCCTTCTTATGGAAGACCTGAATAAACTTTTTTCTAAAAAAGAATTATTTGATTTCATTTTATTTATTATTATTGTATATTTTTAAAAATTTGACCAGAGAGAGACATAGAGAAGAAAAGTGAGAAAGCAAGCCACCAGGTCCAGGACTCAAACTTTAGCCGGCCATGGGGGAGCCCAGCACCTTAACCACCACACCACCTGCCAGCCTTGACATAGATAAACTTAAAAAAAAAACTGGGGGCCAGCAGGCAGTGTAGTGATTAAGGTGCTGAACTCCCACATGGCCTAGTAGTTGGGTCCATGTGCACATGTGCCCAAAATCCCAAGAGGAGAATGGAGAAGGGACTAAGGTGGGCCATTATCCTGGGAGGTGATTTCTCACTTTCCTGCATACTATCTCTCTCCCCAAGTGCATGCACCCTATAGCAAAAATCTTTAAAAAAAAAAAAAAGAAAAAGAAAAAAGAAAAACAAAAAAACCCTAAAATTCACACACAGTTTTTCATAAAATACATTTCCATGAACTTTTTGAGGGCCCCCTGCTGTACCTAACTTACTAGGCTAGTCAGGGAAAAGGAGAACTCGCTATATGAAAAGCCCTCCTTACTATCAATTATTCCGTAGTTGGAAAATCAAATGTGAGTTTGGCTTACCTTTTAGCTTCACCTTTTGGATCATCGCATGGTTTCATGGCCTCTGTGACACTGACATTTTCTTGAGGACTGTCTTCCAATTCTTTGGCATTGTCTTGACTTAAGTTAGTAGCTTCTGGATCAACCTTTACTCCTACTCCTTCCCCAGTTCCATTTTCATTGAAATTATCATCATAACTCTATTGTTACATAATAATTTGTATTACTGATTAGATACATGTAACAAAACATACATGCTATTATAAAACAAATACAATAATACTGACTCCTGTTATGTTGCCAGATATTTATAACAAATGATGATAATGTCCCTCCCACTCTAGTAGAAGCGAAACTTCAAGAAATAAAAGGAGAAGCCAGTAAGTTAAGAACATGGATGCCCATAATATTAAATTAGGAACAAATTAGAAAAAATACAAATGTTCAATAAGTGAATGGTTGACTATGTGAAAGAAAATTACAAAATTTTGAAAATCATGTTTCCAAAGATTTGCATTTAATTATGTGAAAAAAATATAATGTACTAGCAAAAATGGTAGAAAGAAAATCATACACGGTCCAACCATAATTTAATCCAGTATTAAGAAATCTCTAGACTAATCTCTAGAATTAATGATAATACTTAAACTTTTCTCTATTTCCCAAGTGAATAGCCATGAGCCACCATTACTTTTACAGTCAAGAAAAACAACAGCAATGAACAGGAGCGATTAAAAGAAGATGCCTGGTGGGGCCGGCAAGTGATTTGGTGGTTAAGGGTGCTGGACTCCCACATGGCCACTGTGGTTCAAGTCCTAGACCTGGCAGCTTTCTCTCTCTCCTTCTCTCTCTCTCTGTACCTCTCTGGTTAAGCTGAAATGAATAAATGAATGAATAAATAAAGCTAAATAATTTTTTTTTTTATAAAAAGGAAGATGCCTGGCAACATATCATCATTAAGAGCAACTCTTTAGTTGAATAACATTGAGTTGCAGTTTCCCCCTTTTTCTCTCTGAGCACACACTTTTCCCCCCGAGCTATCTGAAAGTAAGCTGCAGCAGACATACCATGTACGTTCTAAGAGAGACATTTTCAACACGGCCCTGATATTTATCATACTCAATGATACTGATACTGTAAGTAACACAGTACCCATTCACATTTACCAATCTTTCCTTTTTCTAAAGCCCTCCAGAGAAGATATAACCAAGGATTGTTCCATTTAGCTGTCATATTTCTTCTTTAATTCTAGAATAGTTCCTCTATTTTTTTCTTTACCAATACTGATAATTGATGACTTTCGTTAAAAGTTCCATAATTTAGCTTTCTCTGATTATTTCCAAATGATTAGATTCAGATCAAGTATTTCTAACAATATTATAAAGATAATGCCATATCCTTCTCAGTATAAGAAATAAAGAGGTGAAATGCCAGTATGTCTCATTTTCAGAGACCTTAATAAGTTTGATCATTTGACTAGGGTAATAATGAGACATATTCCCGTTGTAAAGTACCCTTTTCCTTTTTTTAATTAAGTCATCTGCAGTGTGACTTTCTGACTGTGTGATTATCTTGTCCTCAATATTCCAAGCCCTGATGGACGTAGCATCTATCAATGATTCTTGCCTGAACCAGTTATTATACAAGTAATTGCAGAACAGTGATTTTTCTAACTCTATTATTCCATTTGCATTTGTAATAACATATTCTTCTGTAATGAAGATTTCCCATTCCCTCTATCCAACTCTCTTTTTAAAAACTTAATACAAATCATCTTTTAACAAAATCAACATGTGAAAAATATATCGCCACCAGTCCCTTTGATAACAAAGATTTCCCAAATTAGAAGCACTATAAGGTGGTCCTGTTTACTTCGGATGTATCCCATTCAGGTTTCTAAGCACTTACTTCGTTTTTAATATAAGATATTTTGAGCTAACCTTCCACTCTCCCTGTCTCAGTCCTGAAATCAGTTATTTCTCTAAGAGAAAGCCATGTTTCCTTTTTGTGGAAAAGAGAACTTAGAAACCAAGGTAGCCCTCTCACTGGAGGGGTAGTCACTACCATTAGAGCATCACAAAGTGCATTACTAACACACTTTATTTTTAATTTCTTTTTAAATTGTGAGCTCATGTCAACATCTCTAGTTCCAATTCAACACTACAATGCTCTTCCTCTTT